CTGCTCTTAGATGCCTGTGGGTTTAACTCTGGCCTGGAGCTAATTGACATGCCCATAGCATAACCAGATTTGTGGGACCAGGTGTAAGAGAGTAGAAGCTGGGCAGAGTTCTGCAGGCCTGTGACGTGGCACAGAAAACTCATCCAGGGAAGGGAGATGGCAGAGGACCCTCACAAGACAAGGCTGTGAAAGAACACAACTGAAAACCCTTGAGAGAATCATGGCGGCTCTCTAAATTAGCTCCCAGCTTTAACTGTACAGAGCTGTGCTTCCAAACTCTGTCTCACTAATAGAACACACAATTTCAGGCTTCACAGATTAACACACTGGGGCTGAAGAGATGGCTCAGTGGTTACCAGAGTTTATTTCCTAGCACTCACAACAGGAAGAACACAACTTCCAGTAATGGTAATGCAAGCTTCAGGAGATCTCATATCCCTTTCTGGCCTCCACAGACAAATAACAACAACAAAAACAATAATACACTGGATCCTACTTTTACCCTAAGAAATACCTTAGGGTTCATATTGGGGACTGGTTCATATTCCTATGCTCCCATTCTGACTAACATAAATTTTAATATGTAGCAACTAACATCTGACTCTTGTCAGTCTCCTCCTAGACTTCACAGAATACTTTTTTTTTTTTTGTCTCTAAATAACCCCTAGTGTGAGGGATCCATTAAAAAGGAAAATATAAGGTGAAAAACAAAACTATTAAATGGAGTCAATGTGTTCAAAGAATTGTGTTGCTCTGTTTCACCATTGGACCCTAGTGAAAACTCATGCGGTTAGGTTCCAGTAGGCCTACAATCAGTATTACATGTTAGGAAACATTGGCTAGGCTGTGGCGAAGGACTGGACTCGGCCCTCAGCAGTGCCTTCATGTGGTCCCCATGTGTGCTGGGCAGTAGGCTGACCGCCACTGGGGTGGTATACCTGCTGACAGGACCAAGGAGGACATGGTTCTGATAACGCCTGTGATATAGCATGCCTCTGTCCTTCCTCCTGGCAGGTGGTCAAATGTGAGAGTGAGGATCGATGAAGGAGGGGAAGAGGACTTGGCCTCAGAAAGTAGAGAGTCAGAGGGCTACGCTGAAGAAGGAGAGAGGGGCTGACAGCAGGAGACTCCCGGCAGCCATGGAGCGTCCGTTGCCCTGGGTGTCCTCTGAGTTCACAACGTTCCTTGTGGACAATGGAGCAGAAAATGTGAGATGGGGACACTGAAAAGTCAACCAGAGGGGCAGAGGCTTCTGTAATGAGACAAATTTCTGGCCTAATCCCTTAGGGAGGGGAACAGAAGAATTTCAATGACAGGCTGCTCCCAGGTCACTCCCAACAGGCTGCTCTCCAAGCCTCATTCTATGACATTTGGCACTCCGACAGTTCAGACTACAGGCATTTTAAAAATCTAATTTACTAGGCGCCTTTGTTGACTCTGTGTGTCCCTCCCCTCACATGAAGAGAGGACATTCTCTGCCGGCTCCTCCTGTTTTGGAACTGACACTGGCATGGCGAGGAAGGAAGTCCTCACTGGTTTTATTTTGAAGCAGTTACTGTGGCTTAAAGATACAGCGGTGCGTTGCTCTGATGATAGGGTGGGGTGGGGTTTGGTTTCAGGGGTACCGAGGCTACTTTGACTGCTGGATTCTGACACCTTGGGGACACGCCACTTTGGGCTTCTGGAGCTTAGCTGGGCATTGTCAAAGAGTGCTGGCCTGTCTCGCTCCCTTCCTCTTTCTGACCATGCCCAGCCTTGCAGCCGCCATTAGCACTTGAAATTGAAATTACAGAATTTCACATTTACAGATCTGAATGCAACTTTTTCCATGTGCCTCTTTTTTTCATTAGCTCCCTGGACTGACAGCTACACGGGGGCAGGAACATTGCTAAGAAGGGTTTCTGGGTTTCAAGTTCATGCATCAGTGAGCCAAGTATGATCCTGAACATAAACGCATGGCCCACCTCCTTAAACCCTCAACAGCATGTCCATGGGTTAAGAAGGCATTACTTAATTATCATCTTGGGGCAGATGAAGGCACTGAGGCTCAAAAAGTTCAAGGTCACTCAGCCAATCAGTGTCCATGTCAGAATAAGAGATCAGTTTTCTTAGAAATTAATATTTAGGAGCATGTGGATGGTGCTGGAAAGTAGGGTGGTGCTACACACCAGGCCTACCTCAGAAGGGCCCCTGCTCGGCTGGGTCTGACAACGTGAGAGAGAAACAGATGCATCCAGCATCCCTAAGATGCCTGGGATACTCCCTTCCTCTGCAAACTCTAATTCACTCCTGCAGGACAGACACGAAAGACTCTGGTCTCTGTGGAAGGAAGCTCTGGCCCCGGGCTCTGGAATCCTGTGTTTTTAGGTTTTATAGACACTAGTTGCTTGACACATACATGTTATTGAACTAAAACCAACAGCAGACGCTAGGATCTTAGCAGCAGCCTCTCCTATTTCCAGCTGGATAGGCTGAGTATGAGGGGCAGGTCACATGGGTGGGTCTGTCTTGGCTCCCTTGTGTAACACAGAGTCATGGAATTTCTCTTATGAATTACATATTGTATTGCAGGATTTCGCACAAGAAAGATGTTGGCAGTTTTAAAGTCTTGGGACTGTAGATGCTATGACAGAATGAAGGGCTAAATAATGGTTACGCCAAAGAAGCCCAGAGAGTAAGAACTAGGTGAATTTAAAGGGAGGCTACTCCTGAGTGGCTAGATGGGGTATAGAGGCCTTACCAAGAAATTGGGGCTGAAGCTGGAGACAGGGTATTCTATAGTTCTGTAGAATGAGGAAGAGGAGCCTGTCTATACGGTAGGAGCTTTTTTCTTTTTTTTAAGATTTATTTATTCATACAGTATTCTGCCTGCACGTGTGCCTGCATGCCAGAAGAGGGCACCAGATCTCATTATAGATGGTTGTGAGCCACCATGTGGTTGCTGGGAATTGAACTGAGGACCTTTGGAAGAACAACCAGTGTTCTTAACCTCTGAGCCATCTCTCCAGCCCAGTAGGAGCTTCTTAATTAAGAGCTGCTGGGGGCAAAGGGCAGATAGGACCCAGTGAGAAGCATTATGGGGGGTGAACAAAGCACAGACTGCTTTGGAAGCTTTTCCACTGTGGACTGAGGGATATGGTAAAGATTTTCTGTGCACCGTTAGCCAGTGGAGTAAGACACCCAGTATGTTTCAAGACGTCTATTCAGAGGACTGGACTACAGCTCAGTGACAAAGCACTTGAAGAGCATGCTTGGGGCTCCAAGTTTGAGCCTAAGCACAATAAATAAATATGAATAAAATCGTACTCAAGAACTCAGATGAACAGACATCATTGAGCCATTTATTGGTGGTGGTGGTGGTTTTTGTTTTCATTTAGGACCTCCACCTGCAGTCCTCTGGTTTGGCCATTTCTTTTCTTTTCTTGCTAATCAGTTCTTGCCAAGGGTAGTGAAGCACAGTTCTGAGGAGGTCCCTGGCTTGTTCACCCTGCTCTGTGCCCTGGGTTGGGTCCTGAAAACAGTTCTGGACAATGAGATGGACTCCACCAGAGGCTGCCTGGAGGCACAGGCTTTCTCTCATCCCATCAGACTCTTCCTTGTGCTAGGCATGCCCTCATGAACACTGGGTCCTTTACCTTTTCAGATCCACAGTGGTGACATTGAACACGACTCCTTTCAGCCAGAGGATCATGAAGAGACGCTGAGAGAAAGGACAGTTGCCAATGCTCTCCCCATCGACTCCAGCCTGGAAAGGAGAAGGGCAGAAGCCTGAGTCCCAGGGGCACAGATAAACAAACAAGCAAACAAACAAAAACATGAATGTTAACCAACAAACTCTGAGCCTATAGCCACTTCCCAGCTGACTTCAGAGACTCGTTATCCGTCTCCACTCCCTAACATTTGTGTGGAACAATGCCTTGTACCTTGCACGGCCCTCATAAGGCTGAACTGGAGTTTCCAACATGAGACGTTCTAGAACCATCCAGGCACCACAGAGCCTGACACAGGCGACACTGAGAGGACCAACTTCTACACATCCATATGAACAGCTGGGCACTGATCTCCCCTGGCCAGAAGGCCGTTCCCTTTCTGAGGAACGCTGAAGTTGGAGAAGCGCTCCTTTGGCTATGTTCAGCCAAAATATGTTTCTCTGTTGTTTTTCCACTTCTACCCCTGTGATAGGGACAGAGGGATCAATAGAGGTACTTTTATATTCTATATCATAAATGCGCATTTATAGTCCATATTGTAGAAAGGAGTCTGCACGTACATATTATGATAGCTCAGCATACACAGCCTTAATGATGTTTGTTCTGAGCTACGCCCTTTGCCCAGCCCAGAAGCCCCAGAAGGAATACAAGATTGATACCAGCAGAAAATAACTTGACTCAGTGTTTCAAAAAAAAAAAAAATCCTGTCTCCAAATATCAAGAAAATAAAGGAAGAATGCAAGGACAGAGGCACAGACATCGAGTCTCAGAAGTGTGCCTGACCAGAGTGACAAAAACCTGACTTTCAGAATGATTGACTTCCTTGGCCCCACCCCTTTCTCCCTTTTCATCTGCTGACTGCAGATAAACTAGAAGAGAGAGTTTTAGGATGTTAACACATTACCATCTCTATAAATAAAGCACAACTTTATTCATTTCCTAGCTCTGTAACTGACAGCAGCATGTCATAAGACAGAACCTTGGGCTCTGAGTCCACCTCCTGTAGCCAGGATAATTATCAAAGCCGGCACTTTAATCAATATGACACTTAGTTCTGGCTACTACATAGCCTTCAGAATCAATGTAGTACTTATTGGTTAAAACATCTTTTTTATTCAACAAACATATTGTTGCTTAGGGATGTTTTGGGGCAGTGGGGAAAAATGCCCTAAAGGGTTTTATTAAAGGATTGTGTGTGTGTGTGTGTGTGTGTGTGTGTGTGTGTGTGTGTAAGTGCCTGTGGAGGTCAGAAGAGGGCATCAGATTTTTGGAGCACGAGTTCCATAAGGTTGTGAGCTGCCCAGTGTAGGGTGCGGGGAATTAAACTCAGCACCTGTGGAAGAGCAGCAAGTGATTTTAATCATCAAAACAAAGCCTGATGCTTTGTTTTGTTTTTGTGATTTTTTTTTTTAATTTGTAGGAGTTTTATTTATTCGTTTACTTTTATTTTATTTACGTTGGCATGTCTATGTCTGGGGAGGTGTGCCTGTGTGGGTGTCAGTACCTATATGTACAGGAGTGTCTGAGGAGGTCAGAAAATCTCATGGAGCTGGGGTGCAAGGGGTTTGTGAGCGTTCAGACTCGAGTGCTGAGGTATGAACCTGGGTCCTCTGGAAAAGCAACACGTACTCTAACCATTGAGCCTTCCTTTCTAGCCCCCAGGGAGGATTTGTTCTTAATTAATTAATTAACTATCCATCCACAGTTTCTCTCCTCCCAGTGCTCGGCCCCCATCTCCTCTCTTTCCCCACCCACTCCTCCTCCGTTTCTCCTCTGAAAAGTGGAGGTTTTAAATGTGTTTCCTCTGAGAGCATGCGGCCTTCAGCAGGGTGGGTCGGGGGTTCGGCAGGACTCCCTACAACAATAACAACACTGGTGGGTGCTGGCATTTCTCTCACCCACCCGTCTCATGGTCCTCAACACAGCCACCATCCAGGAGGTAAGGTACCTCTCCCTCTTCCCTGAGTGATCTGCAGAACAATGAGCTGGACAGAGAGCTGGTCTCCGACTTATTTCCATCTGGTAATTTCTTCTGCCTTCCTCAACATGGTACTTTGAGGAAGAAATATCCTCCCCTCTTTGGTCTCTGATGTTGGCTTCTCTGGAAATGTTGAGCTCAGTTAGTCACTGGGGCATGGGATTCCACAAGACCCCTTAGGGCTTTCTCCCAAAGCTGGAAACCACACAAATAACATCTAGAAAACAGGAGGTACTAGGATTTTTCTTTGTCTTTTTTCCATTTTTATGTGGTATGTGCGTGTATGTGCTCCGAATGTGTTCGGATACATACATGTCCACCCATGTGGAGACTGATGCTGATGTCTGTTGGGAACTCACCAACACAGCTACGCTCACTACACAGCTTTTTCCAGCAACTCTTTGTGTTTGCCTTCCATAGCTGGAATAACAGGTGAGCCACCATGCTCACCCACACACCTGGCAATTTTGTAAGTTCTGTGGATCAGAACTTCAGTCCTCATGCTTGCACAGCAGGCACTTTAACAGTGAACTGCCTCCCGGGTGGAGATTTTCCTTTAGGAGAGGAAAAAGTGCCTTTCCCAAGAGTAGCCTTTCCCTTCCTTCCGCCTGAGGGCTGCTTAGCTGTGGTTCCCAGATGGCAGGCAGGGGAGCATCCTCTCGTGATTAGAGCATGATCAACTATTCCTGGCTGAGGCTACCTTGCAAAGACAGAAATCCCAGCAGAGGTGTTTATCACAGAAACCCACAGTTCTTGACAGCTTCGGTTGGAGTCATTGCTACGAATCTACCTTTGTTATACTGTCTTAACTACACGGAGGGCCCCTTAACCATTTAGATTTTGCTTTCCCCCTGGCTGGAAACAGAGCCATCCTCAGGACTGGAGATGGCCTGAAGGGGGCACCTGGCCACAGAAGTAAAGGTCCCCACCACACATTCACAGAGATGGTTACCTACTTCATCACACTTGTTTATCACCTCAGGTCTCCCAAAGCACTCAAGAGGCTCAGAGAAAGGGTCCATGTTCCCTGAGGATCATGCTCAGGTTATCAGACTTGGTGGCAGGCAGTTCGACAAGCCAAGCTAGCTCACCATCACCCTCCACCAAGTTTTTAAGAAAGGAATTTTGTTGTTGTTGTTTGGTTTTTGAAGACAGGGTTTCTCTGTGTGGCCTTGGCTGTCTTGGACTCTCTTTGTAGACCAGGCTGGTCTCAGTCTCACAGAAATCTGCTTGCCTCTGTTTCCCAGAGTGCTGGGATTACAGGCATGAGCCACTGTGCCCAGTAAGAAAGGAATTCATGACTGGCAAAAATTTCATACAATAATTGTCACATTAATAACAATAATGATGGCCAGTTTTATCACACATGGTCTAAGTGATATACATATCTATTACCACCAACTTACTTCCCAGGAGAAGCTTGTGCAACTGCATTTTACCATCCCTAACAGTCTGGAAACTGAAGCATAGAGCAACCATATACTTGCCCATATACTTCTCACCATGGTAAGGCCAGGATTGAACCTGGTAATCTGGCTCCAGATTTGGCGCTCATAATGCCTGTCGTGGAGTCTACTGTTAGGCTCAGCCAGGCTATGTCCTCCCAGGACCTGTGCAGTGAGGTGATGACCTTCAGTCAGGCACAGGCATCTCCTAGTGTCGGTCATCCCTGAGTGCAGGGGGCGCTTGCTGTCTTTCGTAGGTCCTTGTGGTTCCACTATGTGTTGCTAATGTCTTAAATCAGGATCTAAGCCTAATAAACAAAAGCCTAATAAACAAAAGCTGCAAACGATGATACAGCCAGCCCTGATGAGACCTGATAGGCTAGGGTCAGACAGAAGGGGAAGAGGACCTCCCCTATCAGTAACTAGGGAAGGGGCAGAGGGGCAGAAGAGAGAGGGAGGGCTGAACTGGGAGGAGATGAAGGGGGTGGGGCTACGTACAGTCAGGTACGAAGCGAATGAATTGTTTAATTAAATTAATTAAAAGCTGCTGCTGTGGTTTGGATGTGGAATGGTCCTCCACGGCATATCAAGTCACTGCCCTTGGACAGGATCAATCTTGTTCTTACAGAGTGCAAAGGTTGTTGCTCCTGAGAAGGTCGCTACATAAAGCCTTGTGCCTCTTCTCTTGCCCTGTGATTTCCTCCAATATGGCCTCCGAGTGCTGTGATACCATCTGCCCTGAGAACTTCATAAACCCTGAGTCAGTTTCAACATCATTCCTTCCAGCTTAGAGAACTGTGAGCCCCCCCAAAAAACCCTTTTGTTCATAAAATACCTAGCCTCTTGAGTTTTGTTATAATCATATCTTGTTATAATAATGAAAGCACTGACTGATTTAGAAAATGAACACCGCCCCACCCCACCCCCAAATCTGAAATCTTTGAAAGTCATGCTTAAAGACTTCCCATGAATCTTGGCTTGTCTGTCATTTTTCTCTCCTGAAATCAAAAAATGCTGAAGATATTGGAAATCATGAAGTTTTGAGGTGCAGTAAAGGCAAGAGGATGGGACCTACCACCGCTTTTGAGTCTCGGGAGAAGGGTGGGAGAGAAGCTTCAGAGCCAAGTCCCTCCCCCTTTGGCTGCCACCCCACCCTTCACAGACTTCTTGTCCATCACTGGGCAGTTGAGATGATTGAGGGAAGTGATAGATCCATCATGGGAATAATAGCAGCAGAGAAAAAGCACTCAACACATCAATAAGTCTCCGTAGCCTCCTCCCCTCATGATACATGCCTCTTTCTTCCTCCCAGTCCCTAACCAGCATAAGAAATGACTCTTGTCTAGAGAAGGTAATTCTGTGTGACTGTACAGTAAAGAAATGTTCCTCACAGGCCAGGGTCTCCAGCATGTGAGCCCCTTCTGCTGATTCCATCTGAGATCTCCGAAGACCTTACTGCTGAGAAGTGGGGTTGTGGAGGTGTTCAGAAGGCTAACTTCAACCGGAACGAAATAGTGAAAATCTCAAAGTAAAACCTTAAAAAAAAAAAAAAAAAAAAAAGCCCTGGGAGGGTAGGGACTGAGGAGATGGCTCTGTGGATAAACTGCTTTAC